AAATGTTTAGGTAATCATATTTTAATTTTTTTCTTCTGTATTTGGGGGATTGGGGGGGGGAGAAGTGTGTGGTTAGTATGATTTATTGTTGTTGTTTTATAATATCAGGGATTGACCTCGTGTCTTCTGAATACTAAACCACCCCTGTCTATCCCTGGCCCTCAATATCCTTAAAAACACAAGTAAATACAAATTAAAGTTCCTATTAATAGCTGTCACATCATTTTACACATATCCAGAAGTTAAGTGAGGAAACCGTGTCACTTGCATGGGGCTACACAGAAGTTACTGAATCAATCTTGGATGAAAATACTTGTCATCCATTCCATGATACTTTTAGATTTACCTCACCTACTCTAAATCTCTTAAAGTACTGAAGAAATCTGTCTCTAAGCTTCGACTCCTTAGAAGACCCCCACACTACAGCTAGTCTCCTTGGAGACAAGAACTGTAAAATGGTTGGTTTTCTTTTAAAGGTTGTTGGAGTAGGCAAGGTCATGCTAGCATTTGCCTTGTGCTGAGTTTGCCAGCTTTCTGGTTAGACGTTTGTCCTAGTTTTGTCAAAGGCACTTGTATCCTGAAAAAGCTCTCACTGCCTGAAATAGGAAGAGAACATATAGGCACACTGATGTTAATATTGGGATCTATCTATTCATGGAACGTAAAGCCCAGGGGTATGGCTCAGAATGATAGAACACATGCTGTACACATGCAAGACCCTAGGTTCAGTTCTTGCTACCACAAAGTCCTCAGAGCATTGCCTGGTTAGGGGTCAGAGTGATAGCACAGTGAGTAGGGCATTTCCCTTGCATGCGGCTCACCCAGGTTCAGTCCCTGGTCTCCTGAGCACCACCAGGACTAATTCCTGAGTTCAGAGACAGGAGTAACCCCTGCGCAGTGCCGGGTGTGACCCAAAAAGCTAAAAAAAAGTTTTTAAAAAAAAACATTGCATGGTTAGACTGGGTGAAGACCACTGGGCACCACTGTGTGTGGGTACCCATAACAATGATGACCACACACACACACACACATGAGCAACTTGTTAAGATAAGGATCCCTATTTTTTTATAGACTTATAAATATTTGTGCTTGGGTTTCAGTTATACAATGATCAAGTACCCATCCCTCCACCACCACGGGTCCCAGCATCCCTCCCCCCCCCCATCCCACCCTGCCTCTGTGGCAGGGCATTCCCCCTTGTTCTCTCTTTCTTCTTTTGGGTCCTGTGTTTTGCAAGAGAGGCCTTGAGTGGCAGTCATGTTTGGTCTATAGTCTACTTTCAGCATGCTTCTCCCACCCTGGGAGGATCCTCCCAATACCCTTTATTTGGTGCTCTCTTCTCTATCTGAGCTCCCTTTTCCCCTAGCACGTGTGGCTGGCCTCCAAGTCATGGAGCAAAATTCCTGCTACTAATCTCAAGGGCTCCCTATTCTTTCTCTCCTGTTCTTACACCACTTGAATTACCTTTTGAACTTTTTCCTCCTTGAAAACTGCCCTTAATTTAATCCTCTGGTGACATTTGGCAGTTGTCCTCTATCTGTTAGACACTGGATTGACTCCAAATAGTAAGTAAACGCAGCCCACATTTTCAGAAAGCTAACAGACAGCGAGGAGAAAGGCCAACTTGCAAAATGGCATATAGATACTTCACCAATGTAACACCCATAATCAAATATTGCTAAAATAGGAAAGTAAAGACCACCACTTAATAAGAGAGTATAGTGAGAAACTGGCTTAAGATGATGTTCAAAAGAGACTTTTCTACAAAAATGTATAGTTGAAGTGACATCTGCACTTGTTTGTTCATTGCAGCACTCTTTACAATAGCCAGAAACTGGAAGAAACCTGAATGCCCAAGAACAGATGACTGGTTAAAGAAACTTTGGTACATCTACACAATGGAGTACTATGTAGCTGTTAGAAAAGATGAAGTCATGAAATTTACATACAAGTGGTACAACATGGAAAGTATCATGCTAAGCGAAATGAGTCAGAAAGAGAGGGATAGACATAGAAAGATTGCATTCATCTGGGGGATATAAAGTAACAAAATATGAGATTAATACCCAAGAATAGCTGAGATCAGCACCAGGAGGATTACTCCATAGCTTAGTGGTCAGTCGGGCATTCTAGAGGAAAGGGCAGCTCAGATAGAGAAGGGAGCACCAAATAAAGGGTGTCTGGAGGATCCTCCCAGGAGGGGAGATGCATGTCAAAAGTAGACTATGGACTGAACATGTTTGCCACTCAAGGCCTCTTTTGCAGACCACAACACCCAAAAGGAGAGAGAGAACACAGGGGATTTCCCTGCCACAGAGACAGGGGGGATGGGGGGGGATGGGGGTGGGAGGGATATTATCCATGGTGGTGGAAAATGGGCACTGGTGGAGGGATGGGTATCTGATCATTGTATAATCAAACCCAAGCACAAAAAATTGTAAATCTACAACTGTACCTCATGGTGTTTCACTAATACAAAAAAAATTTTAAAAAAATTAATCCATAAAAATTAAGGTTAAAAAAAAGAGAGAGAGACTTTTCTGAGGAAGAAGATTCTTTTTGGAAGTAAGGATGATATCCTAAAGTGTGGAAGAGAGCACGTGGAAAGAGTATACCATTCATAGAGAAGTGCTTGTAAAAAAAAAAGATAAAAGTAACAAATGGTTGTTTTCCCAAATTATGCAGAATTCTGCTTATTTCATTACAAGGGTTATGATTTAGAAGAGTGCAACAAAACCCAAATCTTTTGTACCTAACATTCTCATATATATGGTAATATTTAAATGGGCTGAAGCAATAGCATAGCAGGTAGGGCATTTGCCTTGCATGAGGCCAACCCGGGTTCAGGTTCGATTCCTCCGTTCCTCTCAGAGAGCCTGGCAAGCTACCGAGAGTATGCCTCCCACACGGCAAAGCCTGGCAAGCTCCCCGTGGAGTATTCAATATGCCAAAAAAACAGTAACAAGTCTCACAATGGAGACGTGACTGGTGCCCACTCGAGCAAATCGATGAACAACGGGAGGACAGTGGACAGTGCAGTGCTAATATTTTAATATTTTTCTAAATGGAGTGAAACTACATTGATTTTGATATTTAGCTCTTTCTCCACTGTATGATTGGTTGCTGCAAGTTTGTACATACATTATTAACATCAATCCTTCGCTTTAAAATCCTTTGCTTTAAAATCCTTTTCTGGAGTTTTGATGAGCAGTCCTTGAACCACTGCAAAACCAGAAATCAAAGTATAGAAAGACAGTGAATTCCTGTAGCTAAGTATGTGAGCTTACTCCGGATGCCATTCTGTAAAGAACAATGGAAATAATTATTTTTTAAACCTTTCAGTTACAGGTTAATACAAATAGCAGAGATTACTTAATCTTAGCATCTTAGGCTGTACTGTGGAAAAACATACCAGAAAGGAAAAAAAAAATGCTTCCTTGACAAGAATTTAACTTTATAATAATATTTATAGCCATGTGAAATTAAGTTGTACTCTTCTCATACTTTGCATTGCAAAAAGAATCTTTGGAATGAAATTTAGTGAAGGAAATTTTATTTAACTACTTGCTCTAAGTTTTCAAACAGTGCTCTCTTCTGTTAGGAGAACAGTTAGCGAATACGGGCAAAAATGGGATGACGTGGTAGTTCAAATTGCTTAGCATCTTACTTACATGAGACTTTGTAAAGAAAGGATTAACTATGATTTTTTTTTCAAGGATAAAATGATGAATCCTGGGGCTGGAGCAATAGCACAGCAGGTAGGGCATTTGCCTTGCATGCGGCCAAACTGGGTTCGATTCCCAGCATCCCAAATGGTTCCCTGAGCACCGCCAAGGGTAACTTCTGATTGCAGAGCCAGGAGTGACCCCTGTGCATCACCGGGTGTGACCCAAAAAGCCAAAACAAAAAAAGCAATGATGAATTCCATCATATTTGTGTATTCACTTATTCACACTGATGCAAAGGAAAGAAGGATTCAAGGAAACTTTTGAATAAGAAAACTTGCTCTTGCAGAGCTTAATATTCTTCCATTGTTCATGGGCTCATACCCAACATCTAGCATCCTGAATACTCATTGAATACAAGGCCACTTACAAGACAGACAAATTACAGTTTCGGCTTAGTCATTCCCTCTCCTGTAATTAAGCTTTAATTAACTGATTAATGTTCTTCAAATATGACATATTCTTCTAAGAATTATGCTATTTTTTGGGTTATTCTTAATGCCCATCAAAATTATTTTAGATACTAATACAAAACATGGGGCTGGAGCAATAGCACAGCGGGTAGGGCGTCTGCCTTGCATGCAGCCAACATGGCCGACCCGAGTTCGATTCCTCCGCCCCTCTCGGAGAGCCCGGCAAGCTACCGAGAGTATTCGATATGCCAGACACAGTAACAACAAAGTCTCCAATGGAGACGTTACTGGGCCCGCTCGAGCAAATCGATGATCAACGGGAACGCCTTTACCTTTACCTTAATACAAAACATATCGCTACACTATGTTGTCTTATAGTTTTGTAATCACAATCATATTGACTACCACTTTTATACACTTACTCATTGTTCTGCCTTCTCAATGTGTTCCTTCATACCCTAAAGAAAAGTAGTAGACTGTTCCGTTTTGTTTATTGTTGTGTCCCCAATAGAACCAGGTTTGGGGCCACTCATACTGCAAACATTCAAGAAGTGTTTTCTGATTCCATTTATAGGATCGTAGTTATTTTCATGAAATAGATCGTTTTTGACATTCGGCTTTGTCCAGTCTCCTGCATAATTTTCTAAACAGTGTTTAGATTTAGAGCAACTATTCGATTACAGAGCATAACTCTTTGCAGTGGGCGGGGCGTTTTCACCAGTCTGCCCGTTTCTTTTCTTGTGATGTCATTGGAGTGCCTTGAACATGCCTAATTCCACACAGCAAGCTGCCTCTCTGTTCTTATCAACTTCACACAGCCCGTGAAGGCCTCAGTCAGTCAGCCCCCGGCTTTGCCACAAACATGAGGTTCAAATTTCCTCTCGTAGCCATTGGCCTGGAAGTTGCCATGATTGTTTTATTTCACTTTTTTGTTGAGTATGAAACGGAACAGAAGCCTAATAGCACCAAGACAGGCACCGTGGACAGAACCCTGGAGTTGTATCCTTGTGAGTAACCAATCTACTTCTTCTACATTGGGGTTTCTTGGACTCTCAGAGTGTGAGATCTTTAAACACTGTAGGCACTTAAGCTCTATGTTGAACTGCTCATAAAATATGATAGTTATGAGTACAAAGGCTATCATACATTTGTACTGAGGCATGTGGTCTTTTCTCTGCTATTAATGTTATTAATAATAGCATATTATTAATGTTATTACTATATTATTAATACATTAATATATTATATCATTATAATTATTAATATTAATATTATTAATTTATTATTAATATATTACTAATACTGTTGATTATTATAATTATATTGTTGTAATTATTAATGTTATTAATATATTATTAATGTTATTAATGCTATTAATGTTATTAATAATAGCATATCCTAACAGGATTGGTGTCTATTGAGATATTAGAATAAACCAATTGATAGTTTTTTGTGTGGCCTTCACGTTGCTAGATATCCTTACTTTCCCCTTTGACTGAACACTAATTTTATAAGATATAAAAATGTCATACCTTATTAAAAGAAACTTACTCAGTGTAACTTTAGGAGGGATAATGTAGCAAACATGAAATATTGAGGCTAATATGTATTTCATAAGGCTGCACTAAAGAATATGTGAGATATAGAATTTTAATTAAAAATATGTTCCAGGCTTTATAATATTCTTAAAAGAAAGCAGTTCCTCTGAGATGCAGCAATATGTATTATAGTTTTTAAGTACGAACTTTTAAAAGCAATATAAACTTTCTTTTTTCATGCTTACATTTTTTAGGGAGCTTATATAATGGGTGAAATTCTCGTGTAGAAATTACATCCAGAGTTTCTAAGTGACTCAGCAAAAATGTACCATTACAAGTAAAAGTCAGAGTTAGGACCGTACGTCAGATACATAGACTCCAAATTCAGTCCTCTTTGTACTAGCTAGATGACCAAGAGAGTTCCTGATTTTATAAACTTACAAGAGGACACTAAAGCAAAACAGAATTCTGTCCAGTTCTTTGACATCCACTAAGTATTTTATTAAAAACCAAATGTGTCCCACAGAAAACTTATTCAGAGATTAGAGCAAATTTTGTTTTTAATCTAAGACATTACTGGTCCCTTACACATGTGAAAAACTAGCTGCCATAGTACTGGAAACAAAATGCTAAAATACAAGCTATAATTCATGTTTTCCAAATCCATTTCTTTTAAGAACTTTGAAGCTTCAAAATTTGTTTAATTCATTGTGAATGCTCTAATTTCTCAAGATACAACTTTAAGAATTAGAGATAAAAAGCCAAGTTGGAAAACACCAAATTGCTAAATATGGCTTTTTAGATTTTGGGCCTACCAATCTTAGGACACATACTCCAACACTTGCAGGGACTGTGGAAGTTCAATCACTTTATCATTCACTATGAAAAATGGTACTAAGCTCCCAATTTTGTCAAGCAATCTTTGAAGACAAAGTTTCTAAACAGTGAATAAAACAAAAAACAGACAAAACAAAGTATACGTTCTTATAAAGTTGATATTCTTATAAAGATATTTCAAGTGAGAAAAGGCAAACTAAAGCATATAAACAAAAAACTATTAATGCCACCACATATATGATATCATAGACACATATTATACCAGCTAATATATATACATTGTATATATTACATATAAAATATTGTTATTTATCTTAAATATAAACACTCAAAAACATACATAGTAATCTCATAATAAAATGCCACAGAAATAAAGTAATATTTAGAAAATTGATGCATCTAAATTATCATTGCTAAGTGAGAGCATTAAATCCTAATAGCATATCCTAAGCCCCCCGTTATATATAATTAGTTAACCTCTTTCTTATGCATCTAGAATAGCACCAATTCTGCATGATTTTTTTTCCATTTTTTTGTGCTTGATACAGCTGATGTGTCAGAAAATCCAGATAAATACAGATTTAGAAAAATAATTACAGTCCAAATGTGACCATTTCTTCCTCCTTTCCCATTTCTACCTCTGCTGCCCTGGTTCTCTAAGCAAGAGTTACTCAAACGTTATGCAACTGTGGTTTCCTTCAGATTTTCTTTTCAGATTTTGTCTATTCTAAATAGTGCTGCAATGAACAGGAGAGTGCATCTTTTTTTTTTAATAGATTGCAGGGCATGGGGGAGGGAGAATGTCTTGTGGTAGATGCCAAGAAGAGTAATCACAATAATATCAAGACCAAAATTGTTTTTCACTTCCTTTTAAAATTTTAAACTTCCTCAAAATTGACTAAAAGGTATAGGAGAAAGTTCTCTGCAAATCCAAATAACAGTGAGATGTCATCTCACATCAGTGAGACTGGCACACATCACAAAGAACAAAAACAACCAGTGTTAGTGAGGATATGGGGGGAATGGAACCCTCATCTACTTCAGGTGGAGATGTCTGGTTCAACCGTTTTGGAATGCACATAGACACTTCTCAAAAAATTAGGAATTGAACTTCCATATGGCCCAGGAATTCTACTTCTTTGGCATCTCCAAAGACCCCCCAAAAAATTCTATTCATAAAACTACATTTGCACTCCTGTATTCATTGCAGCACTATTCACAATAGCCAAAATCTGAAAACAACTCAGTGGCCAAGAACAGATGACTAGATGAAGAAACTTTTTCACTTTATAATAGCACTGTCCTCCCGTTGTTACTCAATTTGCTCGAGCGGGCACAGTAACATCTCCATTGCGAGACTTGTTGTTACTGTGTTTGGCATACTGAATACGTCACGGGGAGCTTGCCAGGCTCTGTAGTGCGGGAAAGATATTCTCAGTAGCTTGTTGGTCTCTTCGAGAGGGGCAGAGCTATCGAACCTGGGTCTGCAGGGTGGGCTGCATCTGTACTCTATTATTGTATTTTTCCTGTTTGGAGAGCCACAGCCCATGGTTCTTGGGGATTAGTCCTAGGTCTGTGCTCAGTGATCACTCCTTGAGGAATTCGAGGGACCACATGCCATTCTGGGGTGCCAGGAACAGAGGAACCCAGGTTGGCCACATGCCAGGCAAGTTCTCTCCCACTATGTTATCTCTCTGGCCATTGTACTTTCACATACTTCCATATTTGATTTTTCCCTCTTTTCACTTGCTTCATGGAGGGATTTATTTTTTTTTTCCATGTGTTGGAACCAACTCATCCTTCACCCTACCAATATTGTCATAAAATCTGAACATGCACACTTTTCAATTCATTTTTCTTGGTACCCTCAGAAGGAACTTTCAACACAAATATCTTGTCCGGTCTCATCTAGAAATTATTTCAGACACCGTTGGAACATTGCATAAGAGCTTTCTGATAAACCCTTTGGGCTTACCTTTCTTTCTTATTCTATATGTACAATTAGCACTGTTTAGCACTGTCCTCCCGTTGTTCATCGATTTGCTCGAGCAGACCCAGTAATGTCTCCATTGTGAGACTTGTTACTGTGTTTGGCATATCGAATACATCACGGGTAGCTTGCCAGGCTTTGCTGTGTGGGCGAGGTACTCTCGGTAGCTTGCTGGGGTCTCTGAGAGAGGCGGAGGAATCGAACCTGGGCTGGCCAGGTTGGCCATGTGCAAGGCAAACACCCTACCCGCTGTGCTATTCCTTTATAATAGAAATATCAAATCACAGTTGCCAATGGTAGTTAATAGCTGGAAAATTATATATTCTTCTCATGAACCCAATAAACATTTTATTTGTAGACAGGAACTTTAACACATAGATATGCCTGTGAACACCCACCCCCTCATACACATCCACATCCAGATACATATGTGCACACACACGACCCACAAGGACAAGGAGAATGAGGCCAGAGTGAGAAGAAGAGAGGAAAAATTAAAGCAATAGTTTTTTCCTGAATCCCAGAAGAACATCAAGCAGACCACAAAGTAAAATCATATATGGAAGGCAGTCCTCACTCAAAATGCTGACCACACCCTATTCTATACACAACTGAAAGTTCTTTCTTCTATAAAGTGACCTAAAATTATTGCTGTACTAATCTCCCAACTCAATTGTATTATCTCTGGCTGGACTAGTTTATATAACAGACCCAGATCCATCTAACTGTATTCTACATGTGTTTTTCTTACATTTCAAACAATTGCCTTAAATGAAACTTAAACACTAGTCATAAGTCACTGTATCACTGTATCACTGTATCACTGTCCTCCCGTTGTTCATCGATTTGCTTGAGCGGGCCCAGCGACATTTCCACTTTTTTGGAGACTTGTTGTTACTGTGTTTGGCATATTGAATATGTCACGGGTAGCTTGCCAGGCTTTGCATTGCAGGTGAGATACTCTTGGTAGCTTGCCGGGCTCTCCAAGAGGGGTACAGGAATTGAACCCGGCTCGGCCAGGCTGGCTGCATGCAAGGCAAATACCCTACCACTGTGCTATCGCTCCAGCTCCGTCATGTGTCATAAGTCATTGGAGATAAAATTACTAAGTATTTACTTGTTTTAAAATGTTTAGCCAGGAAGAGAACTGGAATATATGCTTTTCCTGAAGAAGTCCATGGCTTGAACCCTAGCACTGCCTGGTCCCCACCAAATACCTCCAAGGAGTGACCCCTAAGCACCAAGTCTAGGTAGCTTCTAAATGCCACCAGGCATGACACCAAAAGAAAACCAAGTTTCTCAAGATGTAACTCAATAGTATTGGTGGTAGAAAATGTGCACTGGTGGAGGAATGGGTGTTCGATTATTTTATGACTGAAATTCAAACATTAATGCTTTGTAACTGTATCAGGATGGTTCAATAAAAAAAATCTAAAAAGAAATATGCAACCCAATAACACATCAAAAAAATCTTTCTTCCCCCTACAAGTGTGTAATGCTAAAGATGGTCAAGATTAGTTACTAATAATTATCAATTTGGTACCTTTTCCTTCATTTGTGTTAAAGTTCCAGAGTTATATTTTTCACATACTTATATTTTTCACCATCTCTGAAAATAGTAACACAGTGAAGAAGGCAAAAT